GAGTTGTATGACAGAGGCTATATTTACTTCTGCTATGCATAGCATACGAATGGTGACACAGTGTCACTTCCCTCCCCACAGGAGTGTAGATGAATGTACCAACAGTGCTCAATCATTTTGTTTAATCCTTAGGTGGGAAATAGCAAACAGAGAGTAAAGCTTAGTCTGTGAAGCTGTCAGCTGATGCAGGCCTGTCTGCTGCCACCCGAACAGTCCGAATGTGGAGCACCTGTCAAGGGCAAGAGGCTTGAGGGGGCAGCTCGGGCACAGACTGCTGCATTTGGCAGAGCAGCTGATCCAGTGGGGATGGAGGGCCAGAAGCTCATGCTGATTCCAAGCACAGATTGTCTTTGGCCTCTCACCCAGAACTAAGACCATGAGCATGGTCATTCTCACGTAACTAGAGCGAGGCTCAACACCACACAGCACAGTCAGGCAATGACTGTCTTTACCCAAACAAGCTGGCTTCATCTCAAGCTAGGTGGTCAGTGCTAAAGGGAGGCAGAGTATTTCTGAGGAGTGGACATGGAAGGAGAGCTCTCTCTCCCTGATTCCCATGACAAATTCAGCCAGAGAATTCACTCACAATTGTGCCCATAGTACTCTCCCTCACCTGTCCCCAGAAGCTCTGTATTGTCTCTAAGCGTCCCTGCACATAAAACACAAGTTACCAGGGTCAAGCTCAAGACAGCACTTTCATATTTATGTGCTGGATTGTAGTCATTACCATCACCTACTTCTGCCTTTTCCTCCTCCCTCTTTCACCTTCTTCACTGTTTTCTTTTGATCTATTTTTAGATCCTAAATTAAGACTCTCTCCTATCCCTTAGAATCAAATTAAAATTCTGTGTACTAAGGATTAAATTCTAGGTGCTTAAGCCTTGCCAGATCCCTTGCCCATCACAAACAGAAAGAAGTCCTGATTTAGAAATGCCAGGTAACTCAGTATTACCCTTCCCACACACATAAAGATACTTAATTGAAAACTACAATGCGGAAAGAAAACAATTAAGTGGCTAAAGGATTACTGCACACATCAACAAGCAGACGATAAAGCATATGTTCATTATTGGGTGAAATAATTCTGTAAACCTCACCACAGAAGATGAATGACAAACAACCAGAGTAAAAAGAATGCTGGGTGAGGTTCAGGGGCCATTTCCTCCTCCCGGGGGAGACCTGCCTCTGACTGATCCCGAGACCCTACCCTGTGAGCCCGCTTAGGAAAGTTCTAAACTAGGAACCACAGCCGAGGCCCCCGTCTAGAAATGAGTGTCAATGACACATACACAGACACAGCATCCCACCACACCTGGGCAACACAAGCAGAAGAGGAGTTGTAAGTGCGGGGAGATGCCTGCAGCTCTCACCTGCCCAGGTCTCACCACTGTACGTGCACCTGGTAAGCTCTGCTGGCTCCTGTACTCGAAAGCTATACGACCGATGACAAGCACCCACAAAAGAACAATTGTAGGCCCTCAGAAGAAAAGCCAGCTTGAAAACAGAGGAAGATCCCACTGTGATGAAACCTTACATTTCATCAGCTGACCTGCCAAAGCTTCCGAGGGAGAAGTTAAAAAATTACTGGCGAAATGAAAACTGAGGCAGCTGCCGTGTAATCACAGGCAATCTCCAAGTGACACGCACCTGACTTGTAAACGTGGCAGGCCACCAGCTGCCAGCTGCATTTCACTCCGCTCTTCCCATCCGGCCCTGCAGTTTTTCTGACAATAAAGTACAGAACACTATCTGAGATGAAATCCTCCTCTAACAGCTCTCTTTTGCTTGGGGGATTTTCTCCTTTTCCTCTTTCTCTAACCACAGCACAAGGACACACGTAGCTACAACTCGCGTATGTCCCAACATTCTTGTTCTTCCGAATCTTCTCGGGTACCTCAACAAATGTGCTCCACAAAAATACTATTTATGAACAGTATCAATACAAACAACTCTTATCCCATACTGAAGGCTCTGATCAAGGAAAAGGAGAAAGCCTATGCATATTTTGAAATAAATTTAGATCAGGTGTGATAAAAATCAGTGGCTATCATCTTTTCTCATACTCCCTTGAGGAAAGCCTGACATTTTGGAGAGTGTGAGACACAATTTTGTACAGTATTCAAATTTAAAATGAGCATGGCTTATGATGCAGCTAGTTGACACATGGATTTACCCTATAGATTGAGTCCCAGTGGTACACAAAGATACAAGTACATGAATATTAATTAAAGTATTGTTTGGTTCACAGAGCAACAAGCTTTCTTCACTTTTTAACACAGTGCAGACACATGTCTAGATAAGCTCCTGTAGCTATCTCATTCTTTTTAAAAGACACGTAACATTTCCCTCCCCTTAGTTTTAGATTGGTCCCTATTCTTTCCACTTTTGTTTACACAATCACAAATATATACACATAGTCACAGAAGGTACAAGCTAATTCTAAGGTTAAATCTTTTGTTGTATATTACTTATTTCCAGTCACTTGCTCAGTAATCCAGGCCAAGCTAACTGTTCAAGTCCTTGGTTAAAGGTGAGCAAAACAACCACCTAGATCAGCTGCTGCAGGGCAACTGTGTAGACCAATGATGGCACTAGTGTGAATCTCCTCATACACACGTGAAGGACGAAGGCTACTGCCAGCTCCCACATTCCCACCTGGTGTGCTAAGATTGATAAAGGACTCGTAGGGCATGTGGCCCATCTGTATACAGTTATTGTCACTTCTGTCTGAGCTAAACGGAAAGGGGACAAGATACGCCAGCACTTACTGCTCCCATGTCTTCCTCTACAAGTTTTATGAAAGGGTTCAAATCCCACTCACTTGAAGTAGATCAATGCAGCATGCTGCAGAGAAACTCCTGAGCAAGCTCCAGGGAAGAGAAAATAAGGGAGGCTTCGAAATTTGTCACCTCGTGTAAGAGCAAAGTACATATTTATGGAGACGATGTGAGCTGCCAAACACCATGAAAATACAACTAAATGTTTTCCATACAGCAGCGAGTACATTCTGGCTAGGCAAGGCCCTTTGTCAGACTCGGGTGTCAGGAAACTCAGTTAATTAGTGGGTGAGGTAGAGCTTTTGAGAAGCCTCAGTAGATGTGGAGAAAAGCAGATGAAAAAATATATATAGAAAGGACGTTCTTGAAAGCATGTGGCCTTCTTTATGGAAGTGGCAGATTGAAAGTTTCTATGCTTCTCCAGTGGCCTGAGTAGGGTGGCCTACATATTAAGAGAAAGGAGGATGAGGTATCAGAGCAGATAGCTGCCAGGGCACCTGGGGCAGGAGGGCTTTGCTGTTTTGCAGCTCCCAGCTGGAATCTGTCCGGTCACCCAGACCAGGCCCAGCTCCCAGAGATATAACTCCAGCCACCCTAACTCGCCTTTGCAACTCTGAAGCTCTGAGGAAGAGACCTTATCTCTCCATATTCAATTCATGTTTTCTGAGAACTCACAAGATTCATCACACTGAACAGATAATTGACTGCTCATGGGAAAGTTTATAGTCTCATGCCTCAAGGCATTCTCTTGTAAGTTTGATTAAAGCTGACTCACAGTCTGGATTGCCAAAGTTGCTCACCCACAAAGCAGAGAAAGAAACTATCTCTGAAAGTCTGGAAACACCCGCAGGGTCATACGGCTGCCACTAACTGGCTGATGGACCTCTGCCATCCACCCGGCTGATGGGGCTTTTGCCATCTTTGGGATCTTCTCTGTCTGCACCAAGCTCCTGCCCCTGACTGGCTTCCTGACCAAGTACCTCATTTCTGGCATCCTGCCTTTGTCTGTACAAATGTTGCAGACCCTGAACACATTTCTCTTGTCACGTGGCTCCTGCTCACTTCCCCTCCCTGTTCTCTTGAGGCTCTTTCCTCTAGTGAGGATGGGGAGCACCCTGAGCTCTGCTCCGACCCCCTACCACTACTCCCCTGCCTACTGTCCCATGTTATACAGCTCTAGACCTGGTTTTCCCTTTTGGCCAATACTGTTTCCATAGTGGATATTTTAACATCCTCCCAGAGAGGCACTCTTGCTCTCTATTGTACTTTCTGAGTACCAAGCACTTATCTAGGCACCTTCTTATGAGTGGTGTTGTTCCGCCCTACAGACTGGGTTTTTGCAATTTCAGATTATAGCTCAGTGAAGGCAAATCTTTTGTAGCTTTCAATGATAACAAACAGCTATGGCACACATGCCATGGGTTTGCCAGCACTGTTTTAGCTCATATGACTTTGTATCCTCTGTTCCTCTCAGACTGATCTCAGTCTTGACTTCCACAATTAGGGTTTCTACCTATAACAAGCTGAGGCCTCATACCCATAGGCAGCAAACTGTCAACATTCACTCTAACACCGCCCTCCCTCCCAGAGCTCCTCCCAGTCACAAGAACCTCAGGGGCAAAACCCCCACTCATCTGGAGGAGCTGAGGTAGTCACGAAGTGGTGAATCACCAACACTTGCTTCACCTACTTGATGACCCTTTGAGCAAGGCAGTCTCTCTGCTGCGCTGCCTGGGTCACGAGGCAACTATGAAAGCAAATGAGTCAAGGGAGAGTACTCTGGGGACCACCAAGTCTGACATATACAACACTTTATTGGGCGGATACAGGGCCCCACACTAGAAAGCTTCACCAGGTCAGCACAGGCTTGAAGGACACAGTGTCCCACCTATGCTAGGGCTGAGCTGGGTTTTGTCTCTGGCACCCCGAGCTTGCCTCTGTCATGGCAGCACACACTGTATTGTGATAATCTGCTCCACATAGAGACAGTGTCTAGTCTCTGTGCAACTACAGAGCCTGACATCCCGAAGGAGCTTTCCAAGTGACTGATGAATGCGTATGTAAATGAACAAAGAAAGGAATAAAACAAGGAACAAATAAAACACTGATTGAGAATCAGATGGGAGTACCTAATATAAAATAGTAATCCGAAAGACTTTACCATGCGTCCTTCACCCAGAGTGCAGACGTTCTGGGGGCCTGGGCCCTCTCCCTGGGACTCACCTGTAGGGCTCCATGGTCCGAATGCCGTAGAACAGTGCCTCCTCCAGCAGGCCGAGGTTGATGCAGGCATCCATGGCGCAGTCAAGCACCTTCAGCTGGTAGATGTTGATATCAGGAAGCCGTTCAGAGTTGCTGCTTATGATCGACTGGCACATGGCCAGAACCTGCTCCCACTCTGTTATTAACCTTAGTTAAGGATTCATTGTCTTCATCAGAGGAAAACAAAAGTAAATGAGCTTCTTAAAAAGGCTGATGAGCTCCCGGGCACAGGAGAGAAGGATGTACCCATTATTTTGCACAGATGAGCTGCCTGAAAACATACTTGAAAAACAAAAACATGTAAGTGGCATCTCAGTGCAGTAAATTCTGTTTACATTAACAAACCATCTTCTAACCAAGCCTGGGTTTTGGGAGATTACATTTTCCAAAGAACCACTCTTTCTTCACTCTCGTACAGGTTTTCTCTTCAAACCTAGTCATAAAATGAATGAAGCAGTTCATTAAACTGGGCTGAAGATTTTGGTCCATTTCAAATTATTTATTCTGCTGGTTTCTGTTTAAAAACTGATCTGAAATTAAAGAAGCTGCAGTAAGATTCCTTTTACAGAAGGAGGAACATATGTTTGCTTCTGTCATTTGAGACTTTGGGTATACATGAAACTAAAAAAACACACACAACCCACAGGCATGTGCTGGGGGGGGTGATTTGAAGAAATTCATTTCTGCAGGACCATATATTTAATTTTTCAAATTATAAAGCAAAAGTGATCCAAATCTATACTTGACCAAATAAAGAGTATCCTTATTTTAGGCCCTTAAAGAAAATATTAAGAACACAGTTTACATATAAATTGTAAGCACGGGGAAATGATACTTCAAAACAGGCAAACCCAGGAAGATCTAATGTCTCCTTAGCAGTATGGACTTCCTTGCTAACCATGAATCAAACTCAATCTCATGGAACCTGAAGGTGACATCACTTTTTCTTTCTTTTTTAAGGGATGGAGTTTTGCCATATAGGTCAGATTGGTCTCCAACTCATGGACTCAAATGATCATCCTGCCTCTGCCTCCAGCCATCCTGCCTCTGCCTCCAGAGTAGCTGGGATGACAGGTGAGCATCACTGTGTCTGCCTTTTAACCTTACTTTTTGGACCTCTTACAGAGGCAGGCAGAGGACTGAGACCCTGGTGTACTCAAGGTGCCTACTTTACGAGCAGAGCTGAGCGTAAGGCTAATGGGACCCCAGGACCTCACAGAGTCTTTACCCTTGCACGTGGAGCCAGGAGGATGCTAGGCTGGGACTGACTCTTCCCCTACCCTGCCTCTACCTCTACTCCATGCAGCTTTACACTCATCTGCTTTCAAATGTTGGAATTCCAATTTGGGGGAAATGTCTGAAGATCCCAGACACAGCAGAAATGGCACAGCTTTTGACTGTAGACAAAGCTGGATCCAAATCTTAGCTAGTTCTGTCATTTTTCAGATCTCAAGTTCTGAGAAAGCGGTGGTTTGAGATAGGCCAGAAATAAAAATGCCTAATGTCACAGTAAGAAGTTAGGCACTGGACGTAAAGTAAAAATATTCTTTATGTGTTCCATCATGAAGTAGGCAGAGTTCTGCGTGTCATGGGCACAGTGGGCAAACATTTAGTGGCACACACAAAGCCCATGCTGCACAGACACCAGGGCCCTCCTCCTTCCTTGTGGTCATGACCTGGAAGCAAGTATAGATTGAAGGAAAAGAGGGTAGTGGACTTGGCTTGATGGAAGCTCTAAACCCCTACCCCCTCACTCCCACGTGACCCAATCTCTTCACAGCCCAGGTTCACTCTTTCCCTTAACTCACGCCTCTGCACTGCTGTCCTAACACAGTAATTCCTACCCTAAGCAGACAGACTGCTGTGTTCTACAATGCTCCCATAGCCCTCTCTCCTTTCCCCTCAAAGTGCTGCTTTCCAAAGTGCTTGGAATATTAGCAAACCCAATCAGGCCACTTGTGTGACTGGGGCTAATAACTTCATGAACCCTCATGGGAAATGTATTTCCCTGTGAGCAGGGGCAGAACACCTCACCCTAAAGCATGACTTCCTTGATGAGGATTTCAAGCACCAGAGACCCCTGTTACTTTAGGATGAGCCCTGGCTCTCAGCAGTTTGCTCTGGTCCCTGAGGGGATCCATTTATGGAAAAAAAGTAGGTTAGTGATTTTCTTTTGCAGACATCTGGCACAGATGTTTAAAGTTTACTGAAGGCATTCCTCCAGAGGCTGGAGGATGTGGTATCTTAGGCAGTCCACTGATTTTGTAACAGATTGCTGGGTTAACCTCTGTGGCTTTTCATTCCAAGATCAGATATCTGACTAACTGTCAGGAGGAATGGCTGTCTCTTACACAATGCTAGACATTTCTGTGGCAAAATTTGCACCTTATTGTAACATTGTGTTGTTTGACCTCCACTTTTGTCTACTCATTTCTATGCACTACAACTCATTCTAAGGAGGTTTGAGGTGACAAGACTCAGAAGCTGAAAACCAGATGAGACGCTCTGCAGCCCTGCATAGGAACACATCTACTGTATCGCTACACAAGCTGGGAAGACTCTGTGCCAATTTCCCTCCACAACATTGGCAGCCGTCTCCTGGCAAACACGGCAAAAACCTCTCCTGCAAAACACCCAAGTGTGAGAGAAAAAAACAGAATAATCTTAACTAAGAGGCTTTCCCCTAAAGCTAATGCAGACGTGTATTTGCTCAAAGATTTAGTTGTTGGCATCTGTGTGGTATTCACTACAAGTCACTGTTCTGCAGAGGGGAGAGTTCTGGGCTGAAGGAGGCCTGCAGAGCCCACCCATAGAAAACAGATTACCATGGGCAGGAAAGATAACCTTTTTTCTGATTACTTGTGAGTAACTAGAAGAGGATTAGATGAGAAAAGGGAGTGAAGTCAATCCACTTGGGACTTAATCAACTTGAGATGCAAAGACTATAAGAACACAGAGCCCTTAAACATACACGCATGTACTTTCCTGCTTAAAATCATCCTGGGGTCCCCTCTCACCTAAAAACCCTAATCTGCACAGGGCACTAGGCCTTGCTGTGCTCCCCCTCCTTTAGTACAGAACATCTGGCCACCTCCCTGCAGCATGCCATCTTGTGCTCTGTTGTGTGCACAGTTACTCCCTCTGTTGGACACCCCTTTTCTTTGCTGGCCTACTAATGGACACCTACTAATCTTCCCAGGCACAGATCAGCCATCACTTCCTCTGTGGAACCTCCTTTAATAGCCAAGAGCTGAATGCTGTTATCTTTGGTGCTCCCTGAAATAAATATGTATCTTGCCCAAAATATTGTATTAGTCAGCTCTGCATCACTATAATGAAATACTCAACATAGGCATCTAAAAAGGAAGGGAGGGAGGTTTACTTTAGCCTGTGGTTCTGAAGGGTCAAGTCTAAGACTTGTCTCTAATGAAGGAACCAATGGCAATGGCAGGAACACATGTCAGAGTGAGGAGGAAGTGCTCACACCTCAAGGCAGGAAACCGAGAGATATCGAAAGAGGAGGATCTCACAGTTTCCTGCAAGAGTATGCCCCAAGACCTAAGGACTTCTTACCAGGCCTCACCTCTCAAGGTCCATGGTATCTCCTATCAGCTACTCTGGGAACTAAGCCTTTACATAAGGATCTTCGGAGCACATTCACCCAAGAACAGCATGTGTACATCTATAGTTTACTGCCCTGCTATGTAGGAAGAGTTGTGAGTGTGAGGCTGTGTCTTCTGATTTCTGCCTGGGTCATTAGGTGGATTATGACTAACAAAGTACCTAGTAGTTATTGGTAAAACTTTGTACAGCTGAGACTGGATCATTCACAGACCCTAAATCTGCCACAGGGGATCACAGAGAAGAAGTCTGATTCTCTCAGTATAATGGCCCTGTAAGCCCACAAACAGAGACCTCTCGCTCGCAGAGCTGGCTGTTTTCCTGATGTCTTTCATCTCACCTGGAGATGGGCTTTCAAATCTTTCCTTGGCTCTGGTTCTTCTCCTGAAAACTTATCTCAGTTTTTCTACATCCCTCTTAGTGTGTCTTACCTCAAACTGAATGTAAAATTCTTGCTCTGACCAGATCAGTACTATCTACTTTTTCAGTTTATGTTCTACATTTCTCTGAATACACCCTAAGACCATGGTCATCATTTGGTAGATTATATCACAGCCTATACTTTATTACAATTTACTGTTAATTAAACTTCTAAAATTCTTTCTTATATTCTGCTGCTTAGCTTTCTGCATGTTTATATACTTTGATGTTTTGACCCAAATAGTATATTTTATATAAACTCTGGTCAAATTTCACCTTTTGACACTCATATACCAAACTTTCAGGACTCTTTTGAACTCTGATTCTGTCATCCCAAATCTGCTATGCTTCCCATCTGTACCCCTTTGGACACTTGATAACCCTGTGTTCTGTGTCTCTATTCAAGGTGTTACAGTTTAGAACTAAAATGTCCCCCGCAAAGTTTCCGAGATTGCTATTTGATTGTGGGGGGATTAATTCACTCATGAGTCTGCAGCTGAATGTGCTGTTTAGAGGTGGAGCCTGTTGTTGGGGGTGACTGTGGGTGGGACCTGGAAGGATGTATTCTTGTTCCCAGCTCCCCCCCCCCCCATCTCCTGGCCGTCATGATATGAGCAGTTTTCCTTCTCCAGGTCCTTCCACCTGGCAATCCCCACCTTGCACCTGGCCAAACACGGACCAAATCTTCTGAAACTGTGAGCCAAGATAAATGTCTCCTCCTTTAAATTGTGGGTGTCAGGTATTTTGTTCTAATGATGGGAAAGCTGACACAAGGTACTGAATCAAATGCTGAAGAGAGCTGAGATTGGAGCAAAGTACTCCAGAGTGACAGTGATCTAATTAGCATCATTCTTCCAGGACAGCTATTTGACAATTTAGTAATACACCTAGTTCTGCTATTGTCTATCACAATTTTTTTACTCCTCCTTATATATCACTTTATGAGATTTAGATACAAATTTTATCAAAGAAAACAAGACTTTATGGGTATATTTTCTCTTAATGAATCCATACAGCATCCTGGTGATCACAGCTTTCTTTCCTATTCCTTAGCAATTGCAGATTTTTTAGTAAGACTGCTAAAAAAACAAAACAAACAAACAAAGCTTTAATTCTTAAAACTATATACTTCATCTCTAGAAGCGGAAACATCTATCAAGTTACCTTTCCTGTTTTTTATAATGCTTTTTAAAACATTACTTGCTATGTAGAAATGTCATTTGCACATTTTTTTTTTTTTCTGGGACATAAGCCAAAACATCTGAAGATCTTTTTGCAATGGTTTCCAATTTTTTGTTGGAAACCTGTGATTTTTCTTTGTCACATTTTTGCCCTAGTGAAATTCTTTCCCTCGGAGTGACCTCTCACTCACCCTCTACCTATGCAGGCTTATCCCTGACTTGGGACATCTTTCATGTAGCAAAACATCAGTGGAGCTCCCCAGATGACTTCCCTCATATGCTCTCTCCCTTTTCTCTGAACTTTGACCTACTACTTTCAATCAAATGTATTAAGCATCAACTCCCACTGGTGCTGTAGTCATGCTTCATATGCTCTGAAGCTTCTAGTGTGAGGGTCAAGAGTATTAAATTATAAAGATTCTAAACTATTCTTTCCTAGAGGTGAACATGGTTATAGAAGGTAGGAAACCTTAAATGTATGTGTACATATAAAGAGTCTGCCACTCACTCTCCTACTCTTACTGGCCATACTATCTAATGAGGGTAAGGTATTCATGCTTATTTACTACAATCTCCTCCAGCCATTACCCAAATCTCTGGCTGGGCCCAGAGGTGTAGTTATGGCCAGGGAATAGAATGAACCTTACAGAAAAATCAAGTCTCACCCTTGGCCTCATTAACATCAAGCTTCAGACAATAAAGAAGTAATCCCAAGAGTCCAACTCAACTTACAGGTGAAAGGATACTCCAATGTGTCTTCAGTTCTTCAATTTTTTTCAGAGATTCTTGCACTCCTTTCCATACTTGCTCATCACCAGTTAGCATATCTGCATCCTGCTCAGGCCAAAACAAGAGGAAATGAAGACAGACAATTTAATTAAAAACTGGCCAAAGGACCCATGTAGACATTCTACAAAAACGATATAAAATAGCTTATAAGCACATCAAAAGATGCTTGACATGACAATAATCAGGAAAATACAAATCAAAACCACATTGAGGTACTATTTCATATCCACTAACATAGCTATAATAAATGGCAGATAACAGGAAATATCAATGAGGATACAGAGAAACTGAAATGCTCATGTATTTTGGTAGCAATGCAAAATTATATGTCTTTGAAAGGCAACCTTTTCAGTTCCTCGAAAGATAAACTACAGAACTACCACACTACCGGGTAGTCACCATATTGATAATTCCACCCCTTATAACCAAGATAAATGAAAATGTTGAAAAAAAAACCCACTTGCACACAAATACTCAGTTCATTACAGCCAAAAGGTAGAAACTCAAATGTCCATCAACTAATGAATGGTTAAATAAATAAGATATGTATGTAGTGGAACATTATTCAAAAATAAAATAAAAGAAGTACCAGTACATGCTACAACACGGATGGATGCTGAAAACATTACACTAAGTGAAAGAAGCCAATTAAAAAAGACCACAATGTTATACGATTCCATTTGTACAAAATATCCCCACCAGGCAAATCCATGGAGACAGTAAGTAGAATAGAGGGTGCCTATGCTTAGGGTGATGAGAGAATTGATGAGTGATTACAGTGGGTAAGGATACTTTCTTGGGAAGATAATGTTCTAAAGCTGACTGGCATGCCTGTTGCACAGCTCTATAAAAGGGACTTAAAACCATTAAACTGTTCACTAAACTGACTGAACAGTGTCATATGTGAATTATATATCAACAAAGCTATTATTTTTAAAAGTAAGGAGAAGACAGATAGTATCTATAATTATTTGTCAAGAGGCCTTCAGACAAACATTTTAATCAAATATGGTATCACTAACCAAGGTAGGAAATAGGAAGACAGATAAACTATACCCATGTGGACCAATTTTGATTTCTGCAAAAATTAAAGACAAATCAAACAAAACACCTGATATTTTAACAAAGGAAATCAAAATACACCTAGGAGCTGCCTTGTATTGCAAACACCTGCGCTCCCATTTAGTTAGCAGGTCCTCTCCTGTTTGCTGCTATGTCTCCAACATCTAGCACAGTGCTAAATGATAGGTATTCACTCAATGCCTGTGAATGAATGTCTGAAAACCATGTGTGTGGCAGAGCACAGCACAGCACTGGTGGCTTTACTAAAACTATTCCCTTGCAACTTTACACAGCTCTGTCATGTATGTAAGACCATGCCCTGTGCAGTAACACAGGCAGTGAATAAGCACAGTCCACCGAGTCAGGCAAGAAGTAAACACAGTGTTTAGAATGAAAAACAGAAATAAAACCAACAGGAACTAAACCTGATTTTTACCAGCATGCAACAATTCTAAGCAATTTAGAGGTAAAATATGCTTCCCTTCCAGGTCAGGGGGCAGCTGCATCTCCTTTCCCTGATTTAATACCAATCAACTGCTGAACTTAAAAACTAGATTCATACACACTGCAACCTGCTCAGAAATCAGAAGTGTATAGCCAAAGTCTAAACCAGGTTTGCTTGATTCTAAAAGTCTCTGTTCTTGTCTGCTTCCATTATGGAAAGCTAAGCATGCTCAGCGAGTCTTAGTTTTGTATCTCTGTGCTGTCCAACATGGCAGGCACTAACTACATGTTGCAATTCGTATTGAAATAAAATAAAATAAATACAATTTAAAAATCATCTTGCTGCAGCAATCACAGTTCAAGTGCTCACAGCCCCATGTGGGTATGGCTACTACCTGGGACAGCACAGATGTGTAACCATATTGTCACTGAAGAGAGCTCTATTGGACAGCACTGCTTTACAGAAGCTGATCAAAGGTAGGAACCATTCAACAGAAAATATTCAATAACTATGTGATCTACAGGTGTCAGAGATGAGAATCACTGGAGGGAGTTAAATCATAGCCAGTATGGGGGCGATTGCAAAGGTGAGAGAGCACAGGCCTTTTCAAGCTATTTGTAGCTCCCTGGAGATTCCCAGTGTATCTCTAGGAGGAAAGAGTGCGCTTTCAAGAACAGCTGCCAGAGAAAGCCCATGTGACTGGTGGAAAGATACAGATTACTCATGTATGCCAGGATAGGAGAAAAATAAAGCCTCTGAGAATAGAAAAAAGATGTGTGACGGTTGTGTGAGTACATCTGTGAGCCACAGAGCCGAGGGAATCTGTGTATGTGCTTTGCACATGTGTGCCACAGAAGGTGGATATGAAGAAGTGTAGCCTACTTCCTTTAGGAAATTCTAAATACACACCAAGTTCCTGTGCATAGGAAGAGGAGGATAATCAACGTCTCTGAGAAAGCAGACAGCAGTCTCCTGCTAAATTTCCGCTCTAAGCCCTTATTCATCTCCTAAAGTTTCAGTTCTGTCATATTCTCCTGCTTTAACAATCAGAGTCACCCATGATTACATGTTCCCATTTATGTTTTATTACTGAAATTTCAAATCTAAATCGTAGTCTGCATAGGGACAGTGGACACCTGCTCTTCTCGTGAAGGTATCCACGTCCTGAGCCCCAGAACCTGTGATTATGTTAGCTTATATGGCAAAGGAGAATTAAGCTGTAGGCAGAATTAAAGTTGCCAATCAGCTGACCTTAAAATAAGGAACTATCCTGCACTACCCAAGTAGGCACCATGCAATTACTACTACAGCCTTTAAAAGTAGAATAGGAGCCAGACCTAGTGGCACACTCCTGTAATCTCCACACTCTAGGAGGCAGGAAAATTGCAAGTTCAAATCTAATCCTGGGCATTTAGTAAATTAGTGAGACCCTGTTTCAAAACTAAAAAGGGCTGGGGTTGTAGCTCAGTAAGAAAGCTTTGGGTTCAATCCTCAGTTACCGCCAAAAAAAAGAGAAGAAGGAGGTAGGTGAGATCAGAATGAAGTGCTATGAGGACTTAGCCACAGCAGACTGTGAAGATGGAGGGAGAAACAAAGAAATATGAGAGGCCTCCAAAAAGTGAAAATGGCAAGCTCAGATTCTCTCCCGGAGCTGTCAGAAGAGTATAGCCCTACTGAGCTCCAATTCTAATACAGCAAGACTTGATTCAGGCTTTTGACCCATAGAAGTGTAGGATAATATATTTGTATGGCTTTAGGCCACTAACTTTATGATCATTTGTTATGCAGCAATAGGAAACTAATACAATCCCCAATATGACTTCTGTACTATTTCTGACCACTGGAGCTTTGCACATCTCCCTCCTTGCATTTGAAATTAATTAATTTAATCACTCACTTTATTCATTAATATTTACTGAGTACCTACAAGGCACTGTTGTAGCCACTGGGAGAGTCAGTAAAGAAATCAATTATAGCACTTATACCTAAGAAATAAGAGGAACACAGGGCATCAGAAACACATAGATAACGCAATATGGCAGAGAACAAACAAATACAGAAGCAAGAAGAGAAGCACTAGCATCAGGGAACTGTTAAAACAGGGTGGCCAGAAAGGTCTTATAGAAGATGGCATCTAAGCAGAGGTCTGCAGGTGAAAGCTCAGGAGATAAGAGGACATAGCAGGTACAACAGAGCTGAGGCAGGAACAAGCCCAAATAGCTTCCAGGAGCAGCATGGAGGCCAAAATGGTCAAGCTGGGTGTTGCAGTGCACGTGCCTGTCATATCTTTCCCTTTAACTGTAAGTTCTCCACAGCTGAACATAGGCCTTATTCTTTTTTTCCTGTCTCTTCAAAATACTTAGCAAAATACCCTATAGGTACCAAATGCTCAGCTGAACATCTGTAAAAATGGATTTAGAAGAGATCATGTTTTTGTAACTACTTTGAATATGTTATTATCTGGGTGTCTTGTATACATCTCAGTTAATCCTTATAACATTCTTGCAGGGTATCTATACCTACCCATTATACAAGGTCTAAGACAGTCCTGAAGCTTAAGGAAATGATCCTCATGTCCTTCCACTCCGAACTGCCAGAGGCAGTATTTAAATCCAGGTCTGTTGATCCTGACCCCAATCCATTTCCATCTTGACTACCCTCATGCAATTTGAATTGGTTTTTCTCCTGGGCTTGCTTATAAGGTGAGACTTATATTTGTGGAGCTAACACATTTAAAATATTGTCAACTATGGTTCCGAAGATTTTCCTAGCGCTAAAGGACAGTGAAATTCCCCTCAACACGGAAACCCCAGCAATTCTCATATCCTTCTACCAAGCAGGGTGAGATCAGTGCCAGAACAGAGCAATTTCATTATATTCATAACTAAATCCACATCAGCAAACAAAACAGAATCTGGTTAGCTGTTCTTTTGGGTTGACACTAAGCCTTTATTTACTTAACAGAAGAGCAGGCAAGCTTTGAAATTGCTTTCAAACATTCAGAAACAATAGTGACCAGAAGATTTTGTACTGCAGCTAGACAAAGCCACACTTACAGTTAACTGTCAACCTCCTGGAGGATGCCATTATGGTAAATGTTTCTTGCACTTAGCCCCAACTCGCTTCAGTCCTGAACAATCCTGACTCTTGTGACTCTGCAGCTCCCGCTACAGCCTGCGCTGGGTGTGTCTCTTCTCTCCCCACACCCTAAAGGGGGAAAACATGTGGTCGCATATCTCTGTAAACAGGACATGAGCGTATAAACTGAAAATATACCTATGGAAACACAACTTAAGTCTTCTGTTTTAAATTTGCAAATATAAGAGTAAGTTAATATGCTCTTCTTCACAGTTCCTGTTTCTAGTATTTATCATCCAAAGCCATTATCATTTGAGACAAGTTACTTAGGGCAAAAAAATCCTCCTGAATTTCAGCTTTACCAATGTAAAAGACATTTGTCTTTAGAAAATGGAAAACGTCTGATTTACAGTTACATATTTTTAAAACATCGAAAGTCCTATTGTGGGCCCGCGTGTAG